CTAGATGGAATGAATAAATTCCTAGAAACATGTCACCTACCAAGACTGAATTATGAAAAAGAAGAAAGTTTGAACAGAACTATAACTAGTGAGATGAGTGATTATCATTTTTCAGATTCCAGATGCAGGACTCCCTTGAATCCTTGCAGGGCTGGTCGTGCAGTGAACTCCCACAATTTTTGTTTGTCTGGAAAATACACTGTTTCTACCTCATTTCTGAAGGATAGACTTGTGAGGTATAGTATTCTTGGCTGGCAATTTTTTTTTCTCTTAGTATTTTGTATATATCATCCTATTTTCTTCTGTCCTGTAGAGTGTCTGTTGAGAAGTCTGCTGTTAATCTGATAGGGGGTCCCTTATAGGTGACTTAATGCTTTTCTCTTGCTTCTTCTATGATTTTCTCTTTGTCTTTAAATTTTGTCAGTTTGACTATAATGTGTCTTGGAGAGGATCTTTTTGGGTTGAATCTGTTTGGTGCTCTTTCAGCCTCCTGAATCTGAAGGTCTGTGACTCTCCCTGTACCTGGGAAGTGTTCCATTATTATTTCATTGAATAGGTTTTCCATGCCTTTTCATTTCTCCTTTCCTTCTAGAACACCCATGATTCAAATGATTGTGCACTTAAGGTTGTCTTATAGTTCTCATAGATTTTCTTCATTTTTTTCTTCATTTTTTTGGTCTTCCTGCATTATTTTGAGAAGACTGTTTTCAAGATCAGAAATTCTTTCTTTTGCTTGTTCTCTCCTGCCACTTAAGATCTTGGTTGTGTTTTTTATTTCATTGAGTGAATCTTTCAGTTATATGAGTTCTGCTACCTTCTTTTTTAAGGTATTTAATCTCTTTGTAAATCTCCTTCTTCATATCCTGGATTTTTTCCTCATTTCATTATGTTGTCTAACTGAATTTTCTCGTGACTTATTGAGCTTCCTTAAGAGTGTTGCTCAAAATTCCTTTTCAGTCATTTCAAGGGTTTCCTGCTCTATAGGTCCTGGTATTTGAGAATACTGTATTTTTGTGGTGTTATTTGATATTACTGTGCTCTTTTTGTATTATTTTCTTGGATTTTCATATTTCTAGTATCTCTACATTGATGTCAGGTCATCTGATAGAGCAATTGCTTCTTCTATTACTATGGAGTGGGCTTTGAAGAGAGAGACATCCTCTTTTTCTTCCTGTCTCCACTGGTGACTGTCCTTGTGTCAATTCAGTCGAGTGGCTGGTAGGCCATCTGCACAATGGCTGTGGCTACTGCTGTGGTGTTGAGTTACTTTTTCAGCAGCTGTGGCTGGGTGGTGGCTGTGGTGGGCCACCTGCATGGAAGTGGTGTTTTTGGCATGCTCTTTGCCTGCTTCTGAGTGGTGGTGGTGGGGGGGG